GTTTGGAAAGGCGAGTTGAAGGATTTGTTCCTTGAAAGTGGAGAGTGCCTCCTTTCTTTCTAGCCTTAAAGAATACTTGCTGTTGCTTTTTAAGGGATTCTCTGAGACAACATTAAGGATGACAATCTTTTGTGTGTCTTTTCAACCTCCCATTCCCGTCTTTCGTAAGAATTCAAAATATCTGTAAATTGAGCACTGAAAGTTGTAGTTGATGGGTCCATTCAAGGAGAGTCGATTTCTGCTCTTCAGACATTCACCCACAGCTGGCAGTTTCACACTTCTTTGTAATCACTCATATTCCCACATTTTTGGAAGCTGGAATTCACATTATGAGCTGTTTTGAGTATTATTGTCCAATCGGATCAAAGGCTTCCTGGGCATCCTAATCGATTCGATCAAGACTCACTGCTCAGCTCCCCTCTAGAAGCTGCTTTGGTGTCTGGATACCGAAAAAAAGACGTCTTGGATGATGTGAACGGTCCCTCAATTACTTCCTTCCAACACATTTCAATGCGGCATTTAAACTTGAAGGTTCTGCATACTTATGTTGATTAATCAATGAAATTAAGGAGAGTATATGATAAAATGCACTTTTGATTAGTATTAGCAACTATCTCCTTAGGAAAAGGCCTTTTGTACTTTACCTTGTTCAAAGAACATGTACTTACACACTGGATAGCTATCAATATCCTGTATCTGGGGTGTGGGATAGACTTACCTCTTCGTGGTGCACCCTAGGCAACGTATAATCATACTGCAAAAAAGTCTATTAACCGGCAGTTGACTTCTCACTTCAAACTACCATCACCCACACTGTATGTCATATTCGACCCCTACCACAGTACTCATCTTTCCCTTTCTGAGCCTTTGTGTCTGTCTGCCTCTTTTACACCTATGAATCACTCTTCTATTCACCCTCCCGAATTCTTCTCCCTTTGATGTTCCTCCTCTCCTCTGTGAAGCCCGAAGTCAACTAAATGGTTATTGATAACTATCAAAACGCCTGACATTTATTATAAATAAATAAATTAATTAAGTATCCTGCATCTTGTATTTTGGGCTAGTACACGGAAATATGGAACTGTGGTATGATTGAAGGAATATAGGCACTTAAAAACGCCATCATTTTGGACTCTTTTTTCTCGTAATAAATATTGATTTGAGTGAATAAACTAACTTGGACTGATGATTGCCACACAAGATTCCCCATCTTACTGTTTTTTTTTAATTTTCACCCTGAAACTTTAGCCAACTTATAGATACTTTGTGGAACATTACCTGATAATGGTAGGCCTTCGCTTGTAAATTCGAGCAATTATAATAAGTAAATTTAAGTAATTGTGTTGTATTCGTCGAGGGTATAAGGTGTGAAGGAGTCGACATTCAAGTCATCACATTGCCTTCCATGTTCATTCCAAAGACATCATAGGAAAGTTGATCCAATCATTTTATAAGCTATCGCATTTTGATTTTGGGCAAATAGTGGTTTTATTGATTATTTGGTCACCACTTTGAAAAAGGAAGTAAGCAACATATATGACAGTGGCGCAATTGAGTTAATCTTTCAGAATTAATTCCTGCGTAAGAATTAAAGTACTATTCCCTGTTATATGTGTGAATTGACAGGCATTGCACTCAACAAGATCTCAATTGGTCTATCAGCTAAACACTCAGTCCCGCTTTCAGGTCAAGGGGAAGCAAGTGCTTTGATAGGGATGAATTCTGAAAAGGCAAGCAAAGTGATAATTTATTTGAAAATTATTTGGGGACGCTTTTTCCACGGTTCCGGACGCTAAGGAACGGCAATTTTTATAAAGCCCTGGGTAACTTAATCGATAAAATTTTAAATCCTATAGCTTATGCATTCATGGCACGTGAACACAATCAAAAGCAACGAGTTTGGTCCTACTGGAATAAACCGTTTCAATTGGAGTGGATAGAAGGAAGAAGCAAAATAACGATAGTTTTCTTGATGGACACGAAAAGTGTTCGTTTAAAAGACTACAAAATACAATGAGTGGTTCATTGGGGGGCGGGGGGGGGGAGACCGTTCTACTTGGACAATTGTCTGTCTTTGGCACACAGACCCTTTTGGCTCAGCATCTTTTTTTGCAAAATGGGTTTTCAACTGGATGCTTTTTTTGCCAATGCAAAAACATTCAAATTTACCTTTGGAGGAGAAAAAATCTGGAATATAGCCAATTGAATAATTCCCATGAGAAAAATAGGCGTTAAATATTGCGATAATTAATTTAGCTGAAAAAAGTGTCATAAGTGAAACTTTTGGGTTGAACCATAATTGGTTTAGTTTGTGTTTAATTTCGATTTCATATTAAGATAACCATCTTCCTAGAAATAGGCAGTCAATACGATGAACGCGATTTGTCAGCTACAAATAGAACATTATTGAAGAAGATACCACGTCTACAACAATCTGAGCCATAGTGCTAGGTTAGCACTCTTCGGAACAGTTATTAATATTGGTAAAAAAGGGGTTAAAACAATAGCCACGACAAAAGCTAATTTTATATCCACGATTAGCATAATAGAAGCACAGTTTCTAATAGAATTAGGAGAAGTATTGTCAATATCAACGGGTAATAAGATGAATTACGATTAAGGAGAGGTTGTCGTGCTCTCTGTTCTAGAGGTGTATGGTTCCAGGTATATCAAATGCCAACTCTCTCTCGAAGTCAAATTTTCTAGTAACTTGAAGACGTCAAATAACTTTCAACCCAAGATAACAGCAATGGTAATAGTGTCACTCATTTAAAAAAGCTTTTCCTCACAGGTTGCTTGCTATAGAATGCTTAAAGACGTTGCAATTTTCCAACAGAAATGAATTTATGGATATTCAGTCCAACACTGTGTATATATATACCATTAAGCCTATGAGATGAACAAAATCTTGGCTAACCAGATACATTGGTTGACAGTTTTTCCAGTCGTTGTCACTCCTATGGAATAAAATGAGCGTAGCAACCTCGAACCATGGATAGGCTACAAGGAGTATGGCTTGGTCTTGCAGTAATTTGTAAGAACTACTCCGATTAAATCAAGCTTAGAGGTAAATTCTTACAGAATTTTTGGTTTCTCAAGATTTCCTTTCCCAAAATGAGAAGATCAGGGGTGGAGTGGAGATCAATGGTATATAAGACAAATGCAAAGGAAAGAGAAGAAAAGAATAGGATTGAGAATCAGTCGTAGGAAAAAGCGCTGAAGACATTGAGCTATTCCAAATATTCCAGGGCTTAATTTTCACCGTTTTATCTCTGGATCCACGAGGTTCAGGACTTGTTGGACGGTCGATTTAACTGAATGGTTGATCATGCCGTAGAGCCATGAGAAGAAAGATGAGCCTAGCAAAGACACTTGGAGTATAAGGCTCTCTAGAGTTTGCCCATGCTGAGCTCTTACAGTGATCCATATTCTAATCTAAGTAAGACTGGCTGGTAAGTGGGGCATTACTCACCTTTCTGGGAAGTGGGTTTAACCACAAAATTAGCTTATCCATATGATATTATTATTACTATTTCAAATGGCAGGCGTTTTGAATATTTATCATTAGCCATTTAGTTGACTTCGGGCTTCACAGAGAGAAGGAGGAACATCAAAGTGAGAAAAATTCGAGAGGGGGAGCAGAAGAGTGATTCACAGATGTGGAGGAGACAGACAGACACAAAGTCAGAGAAAAGGTGAGATGAGTACGGTGAAGTTGTGGAATATGACATACAGTGGGGTGATGGTAGTTTGAAGTCAGTAGTCAACTGCCGGTTTATAGACTTTTTGCCGCATGAGTATACGCTGCCATGGTGCACCACGTGGAGGTAAGTCTATTGCACACCCCATCCACAAAATATAAACCCACAGCAATTTACGTTCATTATTGTTTTCGCTACTGACCAGAAATAGCTATTTGATTCAAGCTGATCTCTCGACTGTGAAGCAATTAACTTGAATTAATCTAAGAATTGTGCATATCGTCTAACGATGGGCAAAATAATCCATTTGTCCACTGACCAATAAATGTGTTATTACTCATTGTTCTACGCACAGATAGACCGGAAAAGAGAAGGATTGGAGGGGGGGGGGTATAGTCACTGGCCGAGCCATCTGTTCAACATTTTGGAGATTGAGGGATGAAGATAGAACAAAGCACACAAAGTAGTGGGTACTGACTCATAGTCCTGGTTTCCATTCAGCCACGTGTCGTGCGTACAGGTTGTAGGCTCCCCGGACGAGATGTTCCGGTGCACACAATCGCCTTTTTCTCCATGGAAAATTAATTAGCATTCTACCAGAACACCCTTCCTTCATACAAGATATCTTTCCATTAGTCGACATTAAATGACTCATAGTAAGAAAGCCGCCAATATGACCACTTCCCGGTTGGCTTTGATCTCTCATTTATCCCTCATAGAGCTGCTAGCCACTTTAAGCGAGAACAGAACACGCCCGAAAATCCCCCTAAAAACTTACTAGGGCCGAGAATCTACTAAAGTATGGGATTCTTAACGCAACTGTTCAAAAAAGCTAACGTCGAGAATTAACCAACGTCTTAATAAACGAAAACTACTAACGAAATTGCCAATAAATTGAACCAAATTAGAGGCAAATCTCGCAACTTAATTAAGTTACGTCGAGCTTAGTGCAAACAGCTGACAGTAATCGAAAGAGAAATCAATTTTCTACCTAAAATGAAGACACTGGGAAAAAAATAACCACATCTGGTAAACAATGTAAAAAAAGCAAAAAAGAGAGAGGAAAGCCAGTTTAAAAATCAAATGTGATTCTATTGGGGGTATAATTTAAAAATCAGATTATTAATTACACTGAAATTTTCTGAAAATCAGCAGAATCACAAATGAAGAATGTGATAGACTGTTTATGTAAAAGCAGTCAAAATAAAAGCCATCACAAATGATAAAAACGAAACATACATGGAAAATAAAAAATAGGGGAGATTAAAAGCAGGAGTCTGGGGTGGGGAAATCACAGATTCACAAAGGGCCCGAAGAATCGGTCGGTTCATCACTGTCCGAGAAATCTAGTACTGCCTTCGGCCGTGGAAGGGAAGGTTGCTGTGATGGCATACCTTCAAGATCATCATCAGAAGAGAAGCTCAAACGTGCCACCGGTTTCCGTGGCCCGGAAAGGGTGCCAAAAACTCTATCTTCTTCCCTCTTTCCAGGAATAAAACCAACTAACACCTCACTGCCTAATTCCTCTTTACCCAATTGTTTAAAGTACTCATATGCGTCGATAATATGATTGCCCTTTCGAATAATGTGCTCTGCAAGTTGAAGGTACTGCCTAGAAACACCCTTCCTCTTAGGAGAATTCACATACACATTTGCTGGAGTCCCTTCGAATAGTTCTCCCATTTTTTGTAACGATGGACCAGCTGGAAGGAGAAAGGAAGTTATTGAAATTCATCTTCTAGAAGAAGCAAATTCTGCAAAAGGATGTGGAAACTTACGAAGCATGGTTTGCACTGATCTAAGAGCCGGCCTTATCTCTTTCTCTTCCATGGTAGGAGAGACTTTAAGATTGACCAAATTCGAATCTCTGAAGCATGCTGTACAAGCATTTGATACCTCCTTAGTCAATTTAGAGTAATAGGCAAGAACGTCCCTGTATCCCTTTTCAAACATTTTTAAATAGTTTTGAGGCTCGCATAGTTGCGGATATTGCCTATAGAACGACGCGTAACCACCATACATTACATAAACGTAAGGATAGAAAACGAAAGGATAGCGGGGGTAGTTAATGTAGCGGTCCACCTTTCGTAGAAAACGGGACAATTCGGGACCACGCTGAGACGAGAATTCGCAGTGAAATATGAGCAAATGAATGGGCGGAGCATTTGGATCAGCTTCTGGCACAGGAGCAAATGGAATAATTTCGTCATCACACGATTGTCGTCTACCCTCTTCTGAAAGGTCATCTTCGCAATCTGACTCGTCCGAGAAGTTTCTACGCAAGAAGCTACGTATTGCGGGCAGTTGAACATTTGGATTATGCCCTTCTATTAACTCATCGACATTAGGGCCCAAATCCATGAAAATTTCGTCATCATTGAAAGAAGCAGCAGGAGCATTCTTGAAGACCCCTTTCACAACATCACTACATGTATATAGATTAAGGGCGCCTTTTATATGACCAGCCTCGTATTCGTAAGGATAGCGGCAATCAATGATTGTGTGAGAAACATTTATCTTTGCAAAATCGCCCCGTACTAACTGAGCGACAGTATGGATACTAACCATGTCAGTTCCATGAGTAGATGTCTTAATTACAGGGAGCACTGGCTTTGGCTTCTCCAATGAAAGACGTGCTGTGGAATCCTAGCACATAAACAAATGTGTATAGAAACACGTCAAACGAATATAAAAGGAAAAAAGTTGTGATAAACATACTGTTGGGATTGGAGAGGGAAACGGGACAGTAACAGATCTCGTTAAAGAGGGCCTTGGCACATTGACTTCCTCCATGGATACATCTGCCGCCTGGATTTCTTGAAAAGCCCGCCTCTTGGATGAATGCAATCGTTTGGATTTTTTCAAAGCCGGAGGGAGTACTTCATTAGTAAAACGCACGTTCCGTTTCGAAGGTGTTGGATACGAAACACCCATATGTTCCAATGTATCGTGAATAAATGATTCGCCATAAAACTGTGGATTAGTTGAGGCTCCGCTGAAGTATCCTGAAGATACTGTATTTTCTTTATCGATCGTCCCCATAAATTGAAATGCATTCGAGATTATTGGAGCCTCTTGATTTGCACATTCATCCATTAATTCTGGCTCCGGATGAAACTGGGCCATATATTCATCTCGTCTATTCTGACGGATACTTTTACGAAGTCGACCCGTATATCTAGTTGGGTCCATAATTGCTTGGCCAACCCGATTTGCAGTAAAAAACTATCCTAACTTGAAATGGATGAAATCCCCGCCCAGTCAGCTGATAATTTATATACTTTCTTTCAGCCAATAAAATGCATAGAAATAGTTAACGAATCAAATGAAGGCTTCATGAAATCGCGTTGGCATTGGCTTAGCGCGCCGATTCGTCAACGCAAAAAAGTTTGCGCGATTTTATCAATATAAATTAATTATCTGGATCAGTTCGCCTCACATTTGTGTTTCATTCCAAGCATCTGGTGCATTTTCTTCTAGAAATAAGCTTATGATTCAATTTAACCCAAAGTAGCTTCTCGTATAATGCGCATAAACTAGTCCTTTAAACGAGTCTCTCGCTGTAGCCCAATTGTAGTTTCACAATAAATGATGGATTCTCTCAACATAGATGTGAGGAGAACTTAAACGGTATAGGCATATGCCAGTAACTATGTGGAGAAATGAAACTTTAAGGAAGTTTCCTCTGCTCCATTAAACAAGACGAAAGTCTCATTGTTTCAAGAATGTGTAGCCGGCTCTTGCTCTTATGTGCTATCAACTAGAATTATGCTTACCCTGACAGAACACTTTCGTCGACAGTCAGTACCAGGCAGCTATCCAGCATTAGTAATCATTCCAATAAGAAGTTCTTGCGACGGCCAATGACTGACGATTCCTGGAATGGAGTTAAACGATTAGCTATCTACTTCGAAAACTCACCAAGTTACTTGTCGGTTAGCGATTCCATAAGCCTATTTTTTCTGAAAATGAATACAATTTTATGGACTGTTGAACTCTACTAAGCATTTATGATAAAAAAATGTGGGGTGCATAATAGACTTACCTCCACGTGGTGCACCCTGGGCAACGTATACTCATGCGGCAAAAAAAGTCTATTAACTGGCAGTTAACTTCTGGCTTCAAACTACCATGACCCCACTGTATGTCATATTCGACTACTTCTACAGTACTCACCTCACTTTTTTCTACCTTTGTGTCTGTCTCTTGCATCTTTGAAACACTCTTCTCTTCCCCCCCCCTCTCGACTTTTTTTCATTTTAATGTTCCTTATTCTCTGTGAAGCCTGAAGTTAACTAAAGGGCTAATTATATCTATCCTAACGCCTGCCATTTGATATAATAATGATAAAAAAAATGTTAACTGCCAACTCGCTTTTGACTGTAACAAAGACAAAACGAGGTAATACGATCATACACGTAGGTAACTCAATCGGTCAATAAGACCTGTGTATCGTGGGCATAACTTCACCAAGGAAGCCGGTAGCCAGCTCATGAAGTCAGAACACCACGAAGTAGACCATACTCCCTATGAGAACATGGACAAATCCATAGCTTCACAAGACAAGAAATGCAAGATGACACTTGGTGTCCTAAGTTCGTTAATTGCTCTTCGATCCCACCTCTGTTTCAATCCTCGTTGAGTACCTTTAGCTATTCCCTCTTTTTGACGCGTTTTCCTGACTAAATTCTGCAGAAGTTCAGGCATTATCAAAGGTATAATACTACATGATCACATTTAACGAATTGACAATGCACAAATACTTCAAATATTCCCATCTGCATGCTATTTTTGTTCACTACTTAAAACTCACCCTAACATTGGTGATTAAAACAGTCAGAACATTTGTACCACAACAGAAATGCGTTTCCTATTCAAAGAAGACAAAGTTGGAACAGCCACAAAAGTAGAAGGCATTTTTCGGGTTTTGAAAACACAGAGTTCCAAGTAAAATAGATCAGGATTGGGAGGATTAATTGTCTACAATAGCTTAACACAACCTCCCAACTTCTCCATCCATAGAACCGTAGACTTTCGGCCCGATAACTGGACCTACAGAGAAAAGAATGATTAGATTTCGGGGTGCCAAATCCCATTACATCTCATTATAATTGGTAATAAGGAAAGGGCCGAGTGGATTATTCACACGGACCCTATGAGTATGTAGGGAAATCCAAAACCTTAGTCATATAGCTAGGCTCTCTCCCTCCCTCCCTCCTTCCCGCCCCCTCTCTGGGAATTGGGGTAGTATTCGAACACTACAAATACCCACTTGTGTGTATCCGAAACAAGATATGTCCTCTAATCAGATTTAACAATCTCACAGAATGCGAAGAGAAACTTTTTAAAAAAGTGCGTCAAATTAAAATAAGTGGAAATAAATAGACCTGTAATTAGAACTAGTAGGGTAAAAAAAAGAATTATCACGGGTCTCAATCATGACTAAGCCATCTGAATAATGGGGAGATCGGACGGGTCAAGTAAGAAATAAAACGGAGAAGCCGGTTAAGAAGAAGTCACAACATCAAGAGTCCTGACATGTTTGAAGGGTAGAAACGTTGAGTTGTCCACATTCCAAAGAGGAGCATAGTTTACTTGTCATGTTTTAGCCTTCAAATTTCACAATTTGACCCCCCCCCCCCCTCCCCAGACGATTGCTGGAAGAGATTATATCCACGCTATTCAACTTCTATTGATCCGTTAATCTAAGTCCCTACCGATTTGTTCATCATTTTCAAACCAAGAGTAGGCAGATGGGACTGTTGATGGCTTTGTCAATACAACCGTGCTACAATTCCTGCAACTCCTTGTAAGGTGGCTTTTCGTTGGGTAAACAATTTACCATCGATTTGTTTTGTGAATTCTGGGAGCACAAAACACAGACGATTGCAACTGCTTAGCTCCTAAAAGTGACATCTAACGCAATTACCACCATATCAACTTCCATGGCAAATTCGAATGTTGCAGAAAACCCTCACTTCAATAGAATCTTAACGGCCAAAAGGAACAAATATAGGCAGGATGTACGTATAAAGAGTTGGTTTCAAAAGTATGATTCAACTTAAAGGTCGTATGGCGTTCTCTATCCAACATATATCTTGGACGTGGTAGTTCTATTGAAACTAAAGGCTTTAGCCAGCTAAGTAGGCATGATAGGCAATGAGGATGGTAATTTAAAAACCACACAGAAATTACCAAATCAACTTTCTGCTAGACCTGAATTCAAGAACGCGCCAAATGCACAATAACTTGCTTTATCACGTGTTCTACAAGCGGAAAAGTCCAAATTGATAAAAAATTGTAGCGTCTTTTTTGGGTAAGAAAAGATTTTATCCCACTCAGAATGACAAACCATCTTGGATTAACAAGCACAGTAAAATGAAGAGCAACATGAAGTTGTAGATGATTACCTTCCAACTGAAGGCCCCAAAGACTACTAGCAGAGCTCAGAAGACGCTACTATGTTGAGGCAAATTGGCTAGTACCGACTAGCTATCCTTTAGATAACTTAATCGGTAGATGGATTCAAATGAACTGTACTGCTGATCAGGAACTCCTTGGGACAGCTGTTGAGGTCTGAACTTGGAATTACTGCTTCATTATGCAAGGAACTACCAAATATTATGGGAAAGTGAGATTCAGTTGAAGTAGGACTCGAACAATCCTTCTGGAAAGAAATCCATCCAAATCAGAACCCAGAGAAGATATTAGCAAACCCAGAATTTCTGAAATGAGATTTTCAAGTGTAAACCACAGAATCTATAACGGAATCTCGAGCAACATAAAAAAATGTGGAACATGAAATCTTTTCTCCGGAAACAAGACCCAACAACAATTAAAAAAGCACACTGGAAAAGATGTGTAAATTGCCGCGAAGGGCACAATATCATCCTGACATTAAGTTCAACATTGTTGACAAAAGGTAGAGTTATGGAGAGCGCTCTTCCGGCAGAACTGAGCAGATATTTTCCTTCAAAGGTAATTAAAAGGACAACTAGCAACCCACCATCTTCCCACTTTTGAGGAAGACACAAAGAAAAGATGCTCTTTTGGACATAATGCATTACAACTCTGCCTTCTTTTGAGGTATAGAGAGGAAAATGGGATAGTGACTCAGAAACAATGGAATTGGCAACAGACTTTTAAATTGGCTAAATGGGGGATGGAGGATAGGTAGAATACGGTTTTTACCCATCACTCAGCTCCAAGTTAAGTCCAAACTAAGTGCACTACCAAGGCAAATGCACATATATACGAGTACCTACATGAATTCCAATTTTTAAGTAACTTGACAGGAAACCCCTCGGCTCAAGCACCGTGACCACTGCAACTTAATTAGGCGTGGTTCGCAACAGGGCAAGGGGTGAGGTTTTTTCGAGGAAACAAGTTTCTTCTCCCAAATAATCAATAAACCAATACACTTTAGATTCCATTTACGTAATCACAATGTACTCTCACTCTCTCTCTCTCTCACACGCTCACTATGCCTCTCTGGGTTTCACTAATTAACGAACAGCTGATGATAGCTTCAAGCTCCAAAAATCTCATTACCCAAAAGTTGAAAATGTCTATGGGAGGTCGGGGAGTTTTACAACGCGTCTACGTGACCTTAAGGGACGTAGACATTTCCCTTGTACAACCAATCCCGTTCCATTAATGTGCAGTGGAGGTATGATCTACGAAGATGGCTATCACTATACCGAGCTCCCAACTACTGATGGGATATTCTGAGGACAGATGTGCAATGGGCCGAAGAGAAAGCGGGAAGGGGAGTCAAGACGACGTACGCGTGTGTAGACCGAACCCCGGAGACAGGCTGCGTACGAGAGAGAGGGGTAGAAAAGTGTGCACGCATATGCATTAAATTATCACAATTGGGGACGCAGGTATGACTCAAAACGTCAGATAAATTACTGATGTGGATAAAGAAAGGGAGTGTGAGGGGTCCTTTCCCGTGCGTTATGTTCCATGAAACTCACTAAAAGCAAAAAAACAAACAGCAGGTGGCCTACGTGCAGATGGTAGTTGGAGCTTCAAAAATGGTGACACGAGGATTTCCTTTTGCGCGCGAAGGTAGAACTACCTTGCATTTTACTCAAGACAAGTCTCCTTAAAAGATCCGGCAAAGAAAGAAATAGTACAAATTCTTCGAAATTGACCAAGTGGGATATAATAATTTCGATTCCTCAAAC